CTGTTTAAAAACCTCCAAAGAAGGAGACTCCACCACTTTCCAAGGGAACGTATCCCACTGTCAAACAGCTCTTACTGTCTGGAGGTTCCTCCTAATGTTTAGGTGAAGTCTCTTTTCTTCTAGTTTGAATCCATTGCTCAGCATCCTAATCTCTGGAGCAGCAGAAAACAAGCTTGCTCCATCCTTAACATGACACCCCTTCAAATATTTAAACAGGGCTATCATGTTGCATCTTCTCCAGGCTAAACATCCCCAGCTCCCTACATCGCTCCTCATAGGGCTTCATGGTTTCCAGATCCTTCACCATTTTGGTTGCCCTCCTCTGGACACATTTGCTTTTGCCCATCTTTTTGGCTTTAGATGAGCCCATGTCTGTGAGTTGGCCAACCAAAACAGGCATGATGCAGTGGCATCATGGCATGGAGAACCAATACTCAAAATGATGTAGCTCTAAGAAGAGCAGCTATCCAGAAGCAATGGGGTGCCTTTGTTGTGTTTCTAAAGCTCTCCTCTTCTCCATCACAGCCCTGTTGGAAGTCATTTTTGCTTAAGATGCTGTTTGCTCCACCAGGACCAGAGAAGTAGCTATGGCCCACCAGATGAGCGTCTAGTGGATTGCAGCTTCCACAATTCCTAATATTGGGATGCTAGCTAGGATTGATGGGATTGACTGAAAACCTCCATAGGACCATAGGGGGGTTGCAGACTGCCAGAAATAGTGCAAATTGAATCCACTTTTAGGGTTAGGGTTAGGGAATCATGGGAACTGTATTTTATTGTAGCACCAGAGCTCTCTGACAGAGAAGGCTCAATGTCTCAGAAAAAAAATTCCCATGATTCCCTAGCACTAACCCTAACCCTAAAAGTGGACTCAATTTGCACTATTTCTGACCCCCCCCCATAGTTGCCTGGCCACTTGGAGCTTTGCTTCTGGCTTCCCCAATGATATTGCAGTCTTACATTTTATACTTATACTTACTTCTTAAAGGATGGGTGGGATTCGAGATTTTATGTTCTGTTTATGTATGGAAATTGTAATGTTGTAAGCCGCTCCAATTGTTCTGCAGAGGGGCGGGATATAAATAAAAATTATTATTATTATTACTTATACTTATACTATAATATCAGTGTGTATATTAGTGGTTCAACTTGCTTCGTAGGGTTCTGGGACATCAGCTCCACACTTCCTGTCCTTCACTCTTTTGCAATTATTTTATTGTCATCTAAAATCTCTGCAAACTATTTCATGGTCCATTGACTGAACTTTGAGTCAGTGGCGGATTATTTACTTTCCTGCTGCTTAACCTAGAAGATCAAGTGGCTTGACCATAAAAGAATGTGGTCTTAGTCCCTGCCACCTGGTGTCACTGTCTTCAAGATTATTTAAAGGGTGGGGGGAAGGAAGGAGAGGGAAGCAAAATGCCAAGGAATGGGCAATTTAATAAAAGTATAATATAGGCATAGTCTCTAGGGTGACATTTTGCTTTTCAGAAATACAAAAAAACTACAGAGTCATTCCTGAGGAAGTAGACCAAGTCTTTCAAAGCTTATGCTGCAATCTCTTTTGCTCAGTTATCTCAAAGGTGCTATTCTTAAACTTTGATGTGACGTTATATCAGAGCAGTGTAAATGTACAGCTTCATAGATACAGATATATTTATTTATTTTAAAGAACATTTATACCTTTACTGTTCAATGGATGAAAAGGCTCCGAGAATTGCATACACATGACCAAAATCAAGACATGACAGTCCTTGTTCACAGTTTTGTAAATATATGATGGGTGGTGTCAAGGCAACTGAGTACACTCAGTCTCATCTCATTTTGCAAGCTGGGTAGTAATGCTAGAGATCTCCTGGTAGGTCTAGGAAAGTATTTTGCCTGATCGCTTAGCAGTCTCTAAACCCTCCAAAATTTCACTGATGAAAGCCAGATTGCATGTGGCCAGGCAATATCAAGACAGCAAAAATTGTTAATGAAGAAGAATGCACAAACTATGAGAGGCTGCTGAAGTTTGCTTATGCCTGAGCCTACTGTGAAGGGCAAGCTTCTGCCCCTCTTCTCTTTTTTCTCCCTGCAGAATTAATGGAGTACAAACTACTTTGGCACTTTGTCCTCAGCTTGCTGCAACTGAAGCTGAGGACAAAGGGAGAAAGGGAGAGAAACTGGGACACTTTTGAAAGCAGCTGGAAAAAGTCAAACAGAGAATTAATCAGGACTGTCCCTGCCAAATCGGGACAGTTGGAGGGCATGCCAGTCAAAAGTGACGATACTGGTCTAGGTGGGTTGAGTTTTTGTGAGGATAAACTGTGGAAGAGAAAAGTCACGGATGTCCCCTTGACTTGACCGGAGGAAACCCAGGATAGGAAGGGAACTAAGACAGTCATAGCATAATACTGTACATTTTTATAAAAGCGAATGAAATAAAAACTGATGAAGTAATGCATTCTACAAGTTGGCTGTCTGAGGTCCTTTGGTACAGTGTTCATGGTATGCTTTCTCCATTCCCATGGTTCTAGCCTGTTTGTTTCTCCCACCATTTGCTGTTATGGCAGAAACCTCTGCTCAGGAAATCCTAACCAGGCAGTAGTGTGGGTGGATGTTTTCACATTCAAGTTATTGTGTGTGTGTTTTTAGGGGGTGGTGTGTGTGAAAAAAAAAATCCAACAGGTGGTGATGAGAAAGACATCTTGGAGTCACATCTGGAGAAATGTGTATTTTGCCCTGCATTCCTGCAGCTGTTGAGCCTGAGTTCTTCCAGGTTGCCCTGCAGAATTCACGCCGCAGCCTTTCCCATAATAGCAATTCCAACCCTCTTTCTTCCTCAATATGTACCAGGATGTGGAGAGAGTGTGTATTTTTCCCCCCGGCAGGCACTAGGCGATCAGATTATCATGCCTCCCCAGGGATGGGATATTTAAACCTTTACGTTTGGCCGATGCTGTTTTGTTTTTTGAGATGTGGAGGCTGAGAACATCACTAAAACAGGCTCAAATGGAAACAGTGCTGTCCCAGTAGAGGCCTGGGGTTGGGATGAAGGAGGTACTAATGACACAAATAGCCAGACTTTGTTTTAGAGTTGCTCTGATGGAAAGCATGTTGTGCCAGGGCAAGAGGCAGACAAACCAGAGCTGGGAAACTTGTGTCCCTCCAGATGTTAGAATCATATGCTTTATGGCAAAAGCCGTCTAGTACGGTCCTTTGTAGACTATCGGATGTGGGGAACTGGCAACTGTTTTCTTTTCTGGTGGGCCGGAGACTGGAACCATACTTCACCCAAATTATTTCTTTCCTTCCTAGAAACTCATCAGGGACCAGCAGCCCCTGGTTCAAACACCGGGACCCGTCTGTAGATACTGCTCTGAGTAGCATTGATCTAGTTCAGTGGTTCCCAACTTTTGGTACTGCATTTGTTTTGGACTTCAGATCCCAGGTGCCCCAGCCAATGTGGCCAACAGTCAGGAATTATGGGACCGGACATCCAAAACATCTGGAGGACCAATAGTTGGGAACCACTGATTTCATCTAATCCATCCCCCTGTTGTATAACAACAAGAACAACTCCTTCTCCTTCTCCTTCTTCTCTTTCTCTTTCTCCTCCTCATCCTTTGTATTCCACTGTGTCTCCGAGGATCACACAGTGGCTTATAATAACAAAAAGTGGAACCATTTAAAACATCTTTCAACACAGTCAGGAAAAAAAAAAAAAAGATGAAAGGCTAAAAACGTATTCAACCATTGAACGCTTAAAACAGAACATCTAAAATAGTTTAACTCATGTGGAAATTTGGACAAAATCAATCATGCCCCACTTTAATAAATATTGGTGGTTTTGCTTGGCACCAGAATGACAGCAGCATTGGAATCAACTGGGCTGCAAAGGGAAGGTTATCTTATAGCTAAAATGTCATGGCAGAGAAGGTCTTCTGCTGTGCCCTCCCACATTGTATTGCCCCAATTGATGGGAAACAGGAGGACCTCTCTGGTAGACCTCCAACAGGCACATATAAAGCATTCCCAAGAGATGACCATCCAACCTCCTCTTAAAAACCTCCAAAGAAAGAGAGTTTACTCTCCAAGAGTCTGTTCCACTGTTGTCCACCTCCTATTGTCAAGACGTTCTTCCTAAAATTTCGGTGGAATCTCTTTTCTTGTAATTTGAATCTATTGGTTTATGTCCTAGTCTGTGGAGCAACAGAAAACAAGCAGGTTCCATCTTCAGGTTTGCTCCAGCTTCTACATGACATTCCAGCACATAGTTAAATATGGCTATTTATCGATCCGCAGGGAGAGGCGGGATATATCAATAAATCATTATCATTATTATTATTATTATTATTATTATTATTATTATTATATTCTATCACCTCTCAGTTTTCTCCAAACCAAACATTCAAACATTCAAGCTAAGCCATTCCTCCTAGGACTTGGTTTCTAGATCATTTGCCATCTTGCCATCCTCTGTTGTGGGGTTCCAGCACTAATGTTAGTGGACTATAACTCCCAGTCATCATATCCAGTGTTGAAGGATCTTAGGAACTGTAATCTGACAACATCTAGAGAGCTACACAGTTTCCCAGTTCTGGGATAGAAGATACTATGGATGAACAGTCTGAAGTGAAAAGTGCCTTCTTTCTGCTTATAAAGGCCAGTCTTTGTTTCAAAGGCCTTGGTGCTGATGCAGGGTTGGAGTTCTGCCATACAAGAGCTCTTGCTCTTTGGGTTAATGAAGTATAGAGCTTAGAAAAGTTAATTTTTTAAGGGGGGGCACAGTTCCCAGCCAGCATGGCAAGTAGCCATGTTGATAGGAGACTTACAGACCTGTATGTAGCCCACCAAAGAATTGTTCTGACCTAAGTGCCATAACTAATCCTTTCTCCCACACTCTCCATTCTACACAGACATGTGAGATGTGTGTGTGAATGTGCCTTCAAGTTGCCGATTGACTTATGCCATGAATTTCATAAGATTTTCTGAAGCAGGGAATACTCCAAAGTAGACCCAGTGTGGTGTAGTGGTTTAAACGTTGGACTATGACTTTGGAGACCAGGGTTCAAGTCCCAGCTCAGCCATGTAAACCTGCTGGGTGGCCTTGGGCAAGTCACACACTCTCAGCCTCAGAGGATGGCAGTGGCAAACCTCCTCTGAACAAATCTTGCCAAGAAAACCCCATGATAGATTCATCTTAGGGTCTCCATGAGTCAGAAACGACTTGAAGAGACACAACAACAGCAAACTCCAAAGTGGTCTGTTGTTGACTTTCTCTGCAATATAAACCCCATAACACCTTGGTGGTCTCCTATCCAAGTACTAAGCAGAGCTGACCCTGCTTAGCTTCCAAGATCAGACAGGATCTGGTGCCTTTATAGTCCATGAAAAAAACAGCTCCAGGAAGGGGTGGGTGTTAAGAGTGGCTGTGAGCATTTCAGAGTAATGGTGCAGAAAGCTCATTGCTCACATAAGCTGCTACTATTGTCAGGAAATAAATCTCAAACCCTCCTGGCTATTGCCAGGCTGAATAAAATCTGGTGATCCACAGCATTTAAGGCTGGGATAGGGAAGGGCCTGCCTTCCCCGGGTCCTGGAAAGACATAGTCCTCCACCCTCCTTACAACTTGTCTCCCCCTTCCACCAATTTCCAACCAGGTCAGATTTAATTAAGTATATGAAACTCCATCTGCTTGAATTGAATATATATCTCACCCAGCCACTGAATCATTTCCTCTCCTAAAATCTCACCTAAAAGTTCCTTCCTCTTTGCCTCAGCTTCCAATTTTTTGGCAGCGTTAATCACTTTCCTTTCCCGCACTACTACATCCTTACATTCTTGCTTTATTGTAAGGAGCCAGCAAGAACAATTGGAGGTAGAACTAACTGGCTCTTAGGAGTGGAAGAGCGGAGGAGTGGTGGGCAGCTTTCACTAGCATCATGTGTTCTGGGAGGAAAGGGATCTTGGAAAAACAGAGTCCCAATCCCACTTTTGCTTTCTGATGCTATTGTGAGGGTGTAGGAGCATGCACGGCATGGAAGAAAGGAATCAGATGGACTATTGTGGGTTCCTAACCCTCTCCATCACTAATTTTGCCTACAGGTTGGAAATAACTACAGTTGTCCCTCCGTATCACAAATTCTTTATCCATGGATTCAAGCGTCCACAGCTTGAAAACATTCCCCCAAAATATAAATTCCAAAAAGCAAGCCTTGATTTTGCTATTTTATATAGGAGACATCACTTTATTGTGCCATTGTTTTTAGTGGGACTTGAGCATCCACAGTTTTGGGTATCCATGAGGGGTCCTGGAACCAAACCTCAGTGGATACCAAAGGCCCACTGTAATTATAAACAACTTTGTTAACATATCCAGGAGTAGCCGTCAAAGATATAGCCGTGTTAGTCTGTAGAATCAGTATGTGGAGAGATCTTGTAGCACCTTTGAGACTCACTGAAAGAAAGAAGTTGGCAGCATGAGCTTTCTTAGACTTCATTCTGCTTCTTCAGATGCATTTATGCATTTATGCATCTGAAGAAGTAGACTGAAGTCTATGAAAGCTCATGCTGCTAATTTCTTTCTTTCAGTTAGCTACAAGATCTCTCTACATACAGGAGTAGCTGTGTTGGCCATATCGCCAAGTACAATAACATCTCATACCCACAAAACAGGGATACCTTTATTGGACCAACCAAAATGCACACTAAACATGTTGCAAGCTTTTGAAGCACCACTGGCTTCTTCATCAGGCAAAGGTGTTAAAAATCATACAGGAGAAGGAAAGAAAAAATGACAATGGTGGCCATAAGCCTTCCTTTTGTCAAGATGGTATGGAAGGTTATTCATGCAGGCAGCCTTTCCTCCATCTGGCCATGTGGGTACTGGGAGATTCTACAAATCCAGGAAATAAAATTTCAATTCCATTAGCAAGACAAAAGGCAGAAGATTTTCAAGATGTGATCTCTTCTACTCTTTTTTCATTAAGTTCCCTATTTGGAACGCATTAGAAACTATTCATGTTAAATGACATTTTTTTTAAAACAAAATCCAGCTCAACCACTTTGCCCAGTAGTGAACTGGTTAACTAGTTTTGGAATGTTCTGAAAAGGAGACTTTTTCTAAACCCCATCATGTGGACGAATATAGACAAGCAGGCGTATGGATTTATAGGGACATTACTTCCGAGGAAGCAAATACAAGGAATTTGTTGTTCTCAGTTTCCCGGTTGTTCTTTCTTAAGTGGATTAATTGTAAATGGGGTTTAGGGTGGAAAATTTGGCTACATTTCTTATATTCCAGGATTTCACAATAGCAGGGACATTCTCTTGGTATGGAGAAGGAACCTATTCTCTTGGTATGGAGAGGGAAGTTACTAGCTCCTTAAACCAGCCTGTTTATGCCAATGATGGCTTTCTCCACTTGAACTAATAGCATGGGAGATTTTGGGGGGATGATATCTAGGGAAGGAGGGTTTAAACTTACCCCCCGTGTGTGTTGTGGTCTTGGTGAAAATGGCAATCCCTTGCGCTTGCTCTTAAATAAACCCACTGGCTTGATTTTGGGTGGCATGTTGAGTATCATGTTTCAGTTGGCCTAGAGAATTCCCCCCCCCCAACTTTGATTTTTCTGCTCCCATCATGCGGCGCAGTGATCCAAATAAAATGTTGAGGGCCTTCTCCATTTTGATTTCCCAAGCTTGCTAGGGTCTAACTTAAAAGAATTTGCACAGGGTAGCTTCCTTATCATTTAAGCGTATCGTGAAATAATATGTCAGTGGGGAGAGCCAGCATGGTGTAATGGTCTGAGTGTTGAACTATGATTCAGGAGACCAGGGTTCGATTCTCCACTCAGCCATGAAACCTGTTGGGTAACCTTGGGCCAGTCACATGCTCTCAGCCTCAGGGGAAAGCAATGACAAGCCAGCTCTGAACACCACAATTCCAAAAAGATGTTGAGAAGATGGAGTGTGTCCAAAGGAGGGCGACCAAAATGGTGAAGGGTCTGGAAACCATGACCCATAAGGAGAGATGTAGGGAGCTGGGTATGTTTCACCTGGAGAAGAGATGGTTAAGAGGTGATATGATAGCCCTGTTTCAGTATTTAAAGGGATGTCATATTGAGGATGGATCAAGCTTGTTTTCTGCAGCTCCAGAGAATAGGACACAATGGAGCAATTGATGCAAACTACAAGAAAAGAGATTCCACCTCAACATTAGGAGGAACTTCCTGACAGTGGGAGCTGTTCAATAGTGGAACATATTCTCTTGGAGAATGGTGGAGTCTCCTTCTTTGGAGGTTTTCAAACAGAGGCTGGATGGTCATCTGTCGGGGGTGCTTTGATTTTGAGTTCCTGCATGGCAAGGGATTGGACTAGATGGCCCCTTGGGGTCTCTTCCAACTCTCTGATTCTGTGAGAATGAGACGCCGAGCCTTGTGCTTTTTTTCTGGGCACCTTGTTCTGACCTCAGAAGCAGGGAGTGGACATTTCTGGTAGACTAGCCATGATGGTGTGGGACTGGAGGCCAAAATAAAGGGGGAGAATAGGAACAATGCAGGGCCAGGATACTCTGGGCTGCCTCTGGAATATACTGGCCAGTGGAGACACAGCCTAAGATCACTGGGAGTTGGTGGAGGAAACAATCTGGAGCCCCCAAGTTGCTTAACTCCCTTGTATTTTCCAAAAATAGCAATAAAAGTAATTGAGTAGTATAGCAGGCAGTGTTAATCTTTTCCTGTAAGGTTAACATTAACAACTTTATTTTGGGACGGGTGGGTGGGTGCGGGTCTTTGTAACCTATTATGTAAGAAACGGCCCCTTAAAAAGTAACTCTGCAAGTTCTGGACCTCCCAATGGAAAAAGTAGAAAATTGGATGTCAAAGTTGGCAAAGAGCGATCATTCTCCCTCATCTCATCCCAGTTCTTTTGAGAGAAAGAGAGAGAGAGAGAGATGTACAGGCAGCAGGATTAAAATAGCATCAAGTACGGTAGCTTGATATTTATAACCCAACACAATCACGGCACATTAATTATCCAAAATTAAAAACAGCAGGTGCTTGCTCCTGCTAGTAAAAGTATTTGACTCTCTCTGCACTGTCTCTGATGCACAATTTGATTTTGCAAAGAGGAAAACAGAGAGACTTGAAACCTGTGGGGTTTATATTTGTGTGTGTATTTGTGTAGGGGAAGCTTCTATAACTGAGGACTCTGGAGCTGTCTCTCGGTATAACCAAAGTCATTCGTTGCTGTGCCAAATTCCTTGCCCTCTACTTTGCCCTTGACAAAAAACGGTTAAATATAGTGGGTTGTTGGGAGACAGGAATGTATGTTTTAGCATGTAAGTGCCCTGGTTGTGTTATACAGAGAGGTGGGATACAAATAAATTATTATTATTATTATTATTATTATTATTATTATTATTATTATTATTATTATTAGGAAAGAATATAAGTGGAGGGAAAGAAAATACATCTGTGAGAATGGGTCAGGTGGAGAGCAACATTTCAACATTTCACAGTTGAAAAGTGGGACATGCATGGCCAAGCAACATCAGAGTGGGATTGAGATGGCAAAAGTTATTAATGTGAAAGAATATACAGGTTAAGAGAGGCTGCAGCAGTTTGCTTTTGTCTGAGCCTCCTGGGAAAGGGAAGATTCCAAAAGAGAAATGTAGGGTATGTACTCTTACACACAGAAAGTCTCTAAAATGAGTAGCAACAACAGCAGCAACAACAAAAAGACTAACCAGGAAAGTCAGGTACTTATGGATACTTAACTTCACCATAAATACTTATTAAACCATAAATGGCACGTGTTTACTACAATAATATATTTTCAAGCATCCAGTGAAATAATGAACTATAACCATCATGAGATGACATGACTCATTAGACTCAGTAGGAAAATAGAAAGACTGCATTACAGGTGGATAGATTCCACCAAGGAAACCATGGCCCTGAGCTTGCAAGACCTGAGGCTGGCCATTGAAAACAGGATGACTTGGAGGTCTCATTCATAGGGCCGCCATAAGTTGAAGTTGATTTAATGGCAATTAACAGTAAATATATAATATCATATTGATATG